CTTTTTATTTTTTTTTTAACAAATTTTTTTTTTTTACATAATTTTTTTAAATATTTTTATTTTAAAATTAGTATGTTTTTATAAATTATATATATATCATTTTTTATATATATTCGTTCATTTATGCATTTTTTAAATTTTTAATAAAATAAAATATTGTAAAGAAACTTACTTTTTTAATTTATTAATTGTTAAAATAATTTATTAGATTATTAATTTGTGAAAAACAATTTTTTTGGATTAACAAAGAAATATAAAAAAACTAATTTTTTTAGGTATTAATGTGTTTTGAAAATTATTTAGTTCTATTTTTTATGCATTTTTTAAGGAATAAAATAGATTATTAACAAATATAAATAAATATTTAAAATACTTATTTTATTATTATTTAAAATATTTTAAATTAGTTAATATATTTTAATCAAATATTCTTATATTATATAAATATTTATTTTACGAAACATATATTTTTGAAAATATTATTAATTTATAAATTTTCTATATTAATTAATTAAAAAAAAAAAATACAAAAATTTTTTATATTTAAATTGTAAAAAAATAAATTAATATAATAAATTAAAAGTAAAGTAAATTTGCAATAAACATATAAATAAAGAAATTATAATATTAAATTTGGCAATAAAATTCAAATTAAAAAGCATAAAATAACATAATAATAAAAATAATATTATTTATTATTATATTTCATCTTTAAAGATTAATAAAAATATCAAATTAAACATAATATCCAAACTTTTTAACTAAAGAATTATAAATAGTAAATAGCCGGTTAAATTAAGCAACTTTAAATATATATAACATAATTATTTTTATGGATACAATGACATGTGAATATATCAATATTCAGAAAGAACAATAGAAATAAAAGAGGTATTTTTCAATATATAAATTGAAAGATATTATTATATTTATAATTTTTGTTTATTGCCCGTGATATTTCCAAAAACTGTGATTAGAAAAATTTCCTAGAATGCATCATGTGTAATATAAGCGAATATTATATATGAATACGAATTCTTATATGTTATTCATTTAATAATTTAAAACTTTCAACTCTACTTTAATGCAAGTTTTCGTTTTTTAGAAAAAGATAATCGAATTTCAATATATAAATAATGTAAATTTGAACAAAGATATTATATATTAAATCAATTTATGAAAATATGTCTAAAATATCAATTATATATTATGAATATTTCAGATTCATCATATATTCTAAATATACATGAGATTTAATTTTCAATAACATAAACTAATGTATATGCTAATAAGGTCTATTGAAATATACCAAAAAGAAAAAATGTGAATCGCCATACAAAAAACGGCAGAATGCAAATAATTTAACGCCCAAATAGTTTCAATATGTTTACTTAAATTTAAGAAAGTTTTTCATGCATATGTATAATTAATTAATATTTTTTTTTAAATAAAAAGTTGTCAAAAATGCCATTTGTTTTGTTCTTTTTTTTTTAGGAAAAAAATGTATTTAATGTGTTGAAAATCGCTTTTTTTAGGACCAATATAATGCATTATGGAACGAAGACATATCCAAATTGAAATCAATTTGGAAGTAAATATATTTGCCTAAAAAAAAATTTTTGGCAAATAAAAATTGAATTTTCTAAAAATTCTTTGATTGATTAATGCACGGAATCATTTCGGCATAGAATATTATTTAGCTAATTAATAGATAAAAATAAATCTTTTTTTAGTTATGACGATTTTATTGGAAAATAATTTTTTGGTATTTATTTAACTCAAACATTTTCTTTTTGAAATATTTAAAAAATACAAAAATATAGTAAAATATTAATAATTTTTTTAAAAATAGCTATTTTCTTATCTCAAAGAAAATTCTATAGACTAAGAAGAACAGGAAATGAAATTTCGAGATAGCTTATTAAATCTTTTAGTAGTGTTATTTTAATTTAGAATATTTTGGCAGTTTTTAAATATAAAAAATATTTTTTTTATTTATTTTCAATATATTAATTTATATAATTTTTAAAATGTCTTTATCACATTTTCTATATGCTTTTTAAATTCATTTATTGTTTATATTTTTTAATTTTCTATTTTACTTTCTTCAGTTTTTAATTATAAAATTTATTTTATATCTTCTATATAATCTTTTAACTTTTTATATTAATTTATTTGGCTTGTTTCTATTATTTCTTCTTTGTTTTTTTGTATTCTTTATAGAATTTTTGTATACTCATTTATCGAATTATATATAAAGGAGATAAAATTATTTTATGACACAATTTAATTTTCATTCATTAATATAAAAATATTTAATAGTATTTAAAAATAAATATAAAAATTATCGCATTTTATTAACTTTTCCTTTTAAATAACTTGTTTTAATATTTTAAATAGTCTATTTATATCATTCATTATTATTTATTATTATAATTTTGTTATATCTTTATTAAATATTAAATAATATATGTTTTCATTTTATATTTTTATTATTTATCTTCCTGATTGAATATCAGTACTTTATTAAAAAATAAATCATTTAAATTTTATCTAAGAGAAAAATATATATTTACTCAATTTAGATATTTTAAGTAAAAAATAAGTAATTTTATATTTATTCTAAATTGAAATCAAATAAACTATCTATAGTTTATTTTTAAAATGTAGATTTTAAAAGTTTTACATTATAATCACCAATCGAATCTATCGTTAATATATTACTATATTTTTAAATTATTTAATTGTTTATAATTTATATAATTCTAACTATTCTTTTAGTATCTATTTAAATTATTAAGTGACAATCTTCTAAAAGAATATTAAATTAATTTATTTATTTTTTTCAAATAATTTATTAATTTTGTCTTTTAAACTTTCTAAAAATATACTATTAAAAAAAAAAAAAATATTTGTAATTAGTTTTACGAAAAGTTAGATTTTAATTTTCATAACTATCGATTCCCAAAAACTTTCCATTTTCGACGATATTACATATATCAAGATTCATTTCCTTTATATGTATTTTTTAAAATGTTTTATTAATATAAATTTTAAATATTTACTTCAGTAGATATTAAAAAACTAGCATTTTGAATTTTAAATGATAATTAATCAGTATTAAAAAATTATTATAATTCAAAAGTTATTCCGTTAAATACTTAAAGAAACTCTTTCTATAAAAAAATATTATTATGAAAAATGAACCTGAAATAATCTTCTTTTTAATAATTCAAAAATTGTTATAAATTATTTTTTATAATATGTAAATAAGTTTTTATTATAATTTTTTTTAATAAATTTTATTATTTAGTAGTATTTAGAAAATATACACTAAGCGAATTTTCTATAAAATCTTCTATAAAATTATTTAAATTATTACTGTCAAAGACATTAACATCTAAGAATTAAATTCCATATAAAATTTTTTCTTATAAACTAAAAATATGAATTATTTAATTCATAAATAACTCCATTTTATCAATATAATAATAAAGCCTATCTTGATAATAATTTCGAAGCAAAATTAAAAGTAATAAAAAGGATTAATTTTAATTTTATAAGTTATTTTCTTGGAAATGAATTAAAAGTATTTTAATAAATATATTATCACTACTTAAAAAAGATAACTATTTTATTAAATCAAAAGAAAATTCTTCTAGTTTTGTTTCCTCTGAATGACAAAGGATTGCTGAATTTTTATTATTGTCTATTATTGATCTACTTGCTATTTCAATAAATTAATTTAATATTTATATTAATTAATCAATTTTATATTATTCCATAGATAAAATATAATTTTTATATAAAGGTATATATATAATATTAATATATAAATAACATATTATATTAATTATTATAATTAATTATACTTAATTTTTTAGAAAATAAATTTTTTATTATTTTTAATTTAAGCATTAATTTTTTTTTTACATAGTTAAAAAAACTAACATAAATAATTTAAAAAAATATAAATGCAAACAAGAGAATAAACATTTTTTGAAAAGGTACATGATTTTAGGTATATATCTTAAAATAAATAAATAAACTATTAAATAAAAGCTTTATAAAAACTCAAAAATAAAACTAAATTTTAAAAAAAAATAATATAATAAAAAGCACAAACGTACTATATTCAATAGTAAACCGTTCAAACAAATAATATCCTTTCTAAAAACAAGACAAAGTATTTTTTTAAGGAAATCAATTATCTCCAACCGAAGACTATGAAAAAAACTGTAAAAAATTAATAGAAAATTTTAAGAATATAATATGGATGACATACAGGCGAAATTTTTTTCCTTTATTACATAACACAAAAGACCATAAAATATAAAATTACATTAGTGACACAGGTTGGGGTTGTATGGTGAGAGTGGGTCAAATGGCCTTAGCAGAAGGTTTAAGACATCATTTATAATAAAAAGGAATATATGATAATAAAAGAATAATATAAGCCTTCCTCGATAACGATTTTGGTGATGATAATATAGCCCCTTATTCAATATAAAAAATATGTAAAATTGCTTATAAAGAATTTTAACTTGTTCCTGGATAATGGTATAGCCCTGTTAGAATTTGTCATGTTTTAAGCTTATTACATAATGATAAGAAACAAATATTAGACTGTGAAGATTTAAAGGTGGGAGTTTTTTCTACTGATAGACCAATTATTATAGCAGATATGATTAAAAAAATAAATCCTGGAGTTTAAAATGCATGCGAGGAAACCAATTGTTAATTTATTAAAAATTAAAAAGACTAAAAGATCGTATGTTAATAACATAATTAATCTATTTTTTCTTTACTTGTATTTATTGTTTGTAAAATCGGAACAGATAAAGCTGCTAAAAACTATCTTAATGTAGCCCTTGAAATGATGGACTTTAAATATTCAATAGGGATGATTGGAGGAAAACCTTAAAAAGCATTATTTTTTGTAGGAAGAATAAATGATTAATTGATTTATTTAGACCCTCATTATGTATAAGAATGTTAATAAATAAATAATTATGATTTTTAAAGTCATTAATGTTAAAATTTTGCTGTTTATAATAGCAATTATATTGATAGTTCAATTTCTTTAGTTTATTATTTAAAAAATTTGGATTAATTAGAAGAGTTTTATTAGTTTCTATAATTTATGTAAGATAAATTTAAAGATGATTTCTTTATGGTTGTGGAAAACAAGACCAGATTATTTGGCTGAAGAATATTTAGATTAATAAAATAATATGAGTTAAGATGATGATTACTAATTTGCTTGAATTATTTTGATTTTTAGTTATAATATTAACTTTTTATTTTTATTAATAATAAAAAATTATTTACATTCATATTTTATTTTATGTTTTATTTTAATTACATTTTTTTTTAATTTTTTAAATCTCTATCTCATAAAAATTATGAAAACTTTTAAATTAATAAATTAAAAGGATTTTAATTTAATATTTTTAAAATTCTTTTTTTAAAAAAAATAAAAAAAGTTTAATTTAATTAAAATTTGAATATAAGAATATTTATATTTATTTAAATATAATACATATATTTTTTAAAAATGAGCATATTTATTTTATAATATATAATTAATTTTTGCAAAAATATAAATAATTATAAATAATTTTAAACAATAGAAATTAATTATATTATAATAAATAAAAAAAATAATGTATTTTTTTAATTATGATATAATTGTATTTTATAATATTTACATATTATATATTAATTAAATTAAAAGATTTTTTATTTAAATTATATAATATGAATTAAAAAATTTTTAGGCTAACAAACTAATTTTTTTATTCAATTAATTCAAATTATTAAATAAAAATGGTTTTCGTTTGTAATAAATTATTAATTAAATAACTAACTTATATCTAACACATTATATTAAAAATATATTATAAAAATAAAACAAAAATCCTTTATAAATCTTAAAATAAATTTTATTTGTATATAAATAATATTAAAAACCTATATATATATAAAATACAAAAAAAAAAATGAAACTTAGCGAAATCTTAAATTACTATATTACACCTATAAGAAAGTTTGATAAAAATTTAAGTGCCGAATAAATTTTTTAATAATACTAATAAGAATAATAATATTATGATATTCTTCCCTACGTATAACTTCGTTTGAAATAAAAAAGTGTTTCATTCACAGAAACTTAGGAATAATCAGACTTTTTCTTATCTGTAGCTAAGCATATTTCTAAGCATAGTCAGGCATTATTTGATAAACAATAATGATATCATTAATATGTTTGTTAAAAACAGCTTTAAAAAATATGAATATATTATTATTTTTATTTATTTCATTTTTTATAAATTAAATAAAATATTTCTATTAAAGAATAAAATAAATAATATGTCGTTTTTTATATTTAAAATTTAATCTATAAAGGCTGGCTATTTATAAAAATTAAAAAAAAATAAGAAGATTCTTATGTTTAAGTTTAAATGATCAAGCTTCATTTTTATAGATACAAAAACATAGAAAAAAAATAAAAAAAAAATTATATTATTTTAAAATATATACAGAAAAAATAAATAAAGAAAAATTATAAAAAAATATAAATATAAATATATATAAATATATATATATATATATATATATATATATATATATATATTTATATATATTATATTTAAAGATATACTTTTATAAATTAAAATCTATAAATATACATAATTATAATAATAAAAATTCAATCAATTTTTTTTTTTATTTGAATAATTATATTTTTATTTAATTAATAAGATTTAATCTTTTAAGGTATATTGTAATATATTCATGTATTTAAAAGGATTAATAAATTTATATTATTATTTTTTAAATTTAGTTAAATAATCACTCTTTAAAATTTAAATTATTATTTTTAGTATTAGTAGAACTATTACTCTCCTAAGTCTTAGTAACAAAATGAAAACTATTTTAATTTTTACTGTTACTCATATTCGTATTGTAGTTATTTTGTAGCTAATGTGTAAAATCATTGCTAAATTACATACACAAATCCTATTAAGAGTAGCTTTTTTTAAGATTCTAATTTTAAACAAATACATCATTTTTAACATATTTATTTTATTCCCCTGACATTTCACAACATTCAGTTATTGAAATTTAATAATTACTTGTACAATTACTATTTAATTTATAATTATTATTACTAAATTCTTCCATTTAAGTTTATTAAGTATTCAAAATTTGCTAACTTTATAAATTTATGTCTTCTTATTAAGAAACAGAAGTCTTTATTTTTTCCAACTCTCTTTACAAAAGATAATTTTTTAATAATTTTTCAAGATTTTCTTTTTCTTTTTGTATTTCACATAATTATTATTTAATAAGTATATTTTCTCTTTTTATATTTTAATCAATAAATAAGCTTTTATTTTATTTTTAATTAAAATTTTCCTATATATTTGCAATTTATTACTCGAATTATATTTTTAATTATTTATTCATTTATTAAAGACTTTGTATTTATTATTTATAGATATTTTTATATTCATTAAACTATTAATTAAGATTTTTATTTTTTTCAAATAATTTTTGATTTTCTTAAATTAATCTTTGATTTTCTTTAAATAATTTATCCTTTTCATCTTTTATTTGCACATATTAATCTTCTATTTATCTATTTTATTCTTTTATTTATTAATTTTCTTCTATAATACTCTATATCTAATTACTATTTGAATTAATTTCTAATTTTTTGTGCAATAAAATATTCTATTCTTACATTTCAGCTAATTTTTCAAGATATTCATATTCTAACTAACTTTAAATTTAACATATTTTTTCATTTAAAATATTATTTTATTCGTTCATCTTATAAAGTTTTTCAGTTTAGTAATCATATTCAGTTTTTAATTTATTAATCTACTATCTGAAAATAGCGTCTCTATATTATAATTTCTTTACGGTTGTTTAAAGGTTCTTATTTTCCCCTTAATTACTATCGATTTCAATGTAAGTTTCAACTGCCTTCATTATATTTTATTCTGAGTTTACAAAATTACTTATACTATTATTATCTAATTTCTCATCATTTTATTTACTTAATTAACAACTTATTATACTACTATTATTATATTCATTATTACTGTCTGTGTATTCGTAATTTGCTAAATTAGGATTACTATACCGCATTTTTTTAGCTTGTTCTTATATTAATTGAGTAAAGTTTTTTATTTTCGGAACTATTACTTTCTTTCTAACTTCATTTTATATATTTTTTTGCTCCTTTTTTCTTCCACTATATGGAAAACTATTAGAAAATAAAGGGGAAGATGATACTTCTTAAGCTTTTTTATTGAAATTATATAATTATTAATTTTATATTTATTTTAAATGATTTTATTACTATCTATTATTATTATTTATTTATATTCTTATTTAATTTGGTATATTATTATTTGAAGAATTACAAATATCTGTTTTTTTTAAAATTTCTACTAAAATTAATTTAAAGGTGAATTATTATTATTTTCTTTAAAAATAGTTTTGTATTTGTTATAATTATTATTGTAGCTAAAAAATTGTTTATTTTTTACAACTTTATTACTTTTACAACCTTAATTACTTTTACAACTATTTGAAGTTGAATATGTATGTTTATTTTCATTCTTTTACGTTAATTTTATTAATTATTCGGAAATATTATTTGATATGATTTAATTAGTATTTGCGGTTTTGGGCTTTATAATTGATATACATTTATCTTCTTTTGAATTAGAACGGCTTAATGATTATTTTAATTAGCTTTTTAATTATATTTTATTTTTACTGCATTGTTTTAAAATTTTATCTAATTTTTGTTAATAATTTATAATTGGTTAGACTAAAGTTGGAAAATTATGCATGTTTGATTTAATATTTGATTTAAAAATTTTGTTGTTTTGTTGTTTTATTATTTTATTAAATTTATATTTATTTATTTAGTCTTATAAAATAATTCAGTTAATTTTTTTTGTAATAGAAATTATGCAGAATTAAATAAATTATATATAAATGTATAAATAAAATATTTACAAAAAAAATTGTTATTATCAAATTAATTAAGAAGAATTAAAAAAAAATTAATATACTTTAAAAAAAGATAAAAAAAACTATATAATAAATATAAGATAATTGTAAAAAACATATATATAAATAATATTTTTATAATTTTTAATATTTATTTATTTAATTTCTTTAATCATTTTTAATTTTGTATTAATTAATTAATATTTAATTTATTATAATATTTATATGTATATATTTTAATATTTTGATTTTTTAATTCACTATTTATAATATTATCTTTTCATATTTTTTTCGAAAAATATTAATTTAAAGATACAAACATTTTTTTATAAATATTTTTATGTTATTTTTTTAATAAAATTGTAGATTTATAATTAATTTAATTTATATTTTTTTTATTTTAATAAAAACTAATATTTTTTATTCGTTAAAATATTATATTTACTTTTTAAAAAGTATTTTTATTTACTCTAATGCATATATTATATCATTTTTTTTTCATATAATTTTTATATTTTTTAATATTTAAATTATATATTATTCATATACTTTATATAATATATAATAAATAATTCTTTAATAATTATTAATTATAAATATATATTATACAAAATAAATAGAAATAAAGAAAAAAAATATCCAAAAAATAAATGCAAAACATAGCCCATTAATTTTTCTAAAATTGTGAATCAGGTTAAGGATGGTAAACATGTAAATAATATTGTACAGAAAATGCAACTTTTCATTGTGATGTATTACCTTATAAAACAATAGA